TTAGCTGAAAGCGGATTATCGTGTAAAGTGGTGAGTTTAAAATTTTCGACAATGGTTTAGGTTCAGTTTTAATAACCGCATATACGAAGTGTGTTCAAAAAATATCGCGAATTTTGAATTTTCGCGGGTTTCGTATATTCGAATTTCGAATTTTTTGTGGCGTTATGTTGGTACTCATGTCTCTCACTTATGCCGACAAGCTCGGGACAAGCTCTTTCATTTTGAATGTTCATTTAAATGTTGACAGCTGCTTTGCTTGCACGTGTTTTGGATCGTCTTCGATTTTTACCTATTCAAAAAAATGGATCAATGAACCTGTATCAAATTTTGTGTGAAAAAGAAATTAAGTACGCGGATGCATCCCGAATGTTGACTGCGGCATACAGAGAAGCTACTTTAAACCGAAGCAAAGTTTATCGGTGGTACAAAATGTTCTCAGAAGGCCGAGAAGATGTGACAAAAATTGGCTTTTGCACCACGATAACGCCCCTGCTCACACATCGTTGCTTTTGCGCGACTTTTTGGCCAAAAACAACACACTAATGATGCCGCAGCCACCGTATTCCCCAGATCTGTGACTTTTTCTTTTCCCTAAACTGAAGAGGCTCATGAAAGGACGACGTTACGCTTCTCTTGATCGAAGGAGGAGCTGAAGAAGATAAAAAAAAATAATTTTTTGAAGTGCTTCGAAGATTGGAAAAACCGTTGGCACAAGTGAATAATATCTCATGGGGATTACTTTGAAGGGGACAAAATAGATATTCATGAATAAATAAATAATTTTCGAAAAAACACAAAATTCGCTATAATTTTTGAACACACCTCTTATTTACATAAGTTTTAGGTACATGGATGATAATGTAAATTTTAACTTAATGCAGAGACTATCTCCGAATTTCAATAATATGTTTTAAAGTTTTACCAATACCTTCGGTATCCAGTATTGATACTGTTACTCATAAAGTGATGATCCGATTTCGAAAATTTTTGGAACAGAGTTTAAAAAAAATTTTAAAAACATAATTTGCGCAAGTTTTACTGCAATAACTTCAATAGAAATTGATGTTTTATTTGTGATTTTTATACTTTTTTTTTAATGTAATGTTGATAAACAACATTTTTTGGTACACTGCTACATATATCTGGCCATGTGAAAAACATAGAATTTCAAGATTTAGGCCACACACTATTAGCGACTATCCTTGTATCCTGTTTATTGTCATTGCAAATGTAGTTTTTCCTGGAAACTGAATACGCTTGAACTGAAATGGCAGATCGATGGAACTCAAAGGAATTCGTACAATCAAGCATTCTGCAACCTTGTATTCGATAGCTGCTTCATAAAGATTGCGAAACATTAGAATGTTCCAACTTTGAGAAAAATGCGGCGGCATACCAAGTCTCTCCATAGGTTTTATAAATCCCACTGGATAACTCACGGCTTCATATTCATTGTCAAGACAATGGATCGATTTATATGATCGGCAATCGTAGTTACGATAATTTGGCTAACATTCGTGATGAGTTCATTTGTCGTGAATTGATAAACGGAATCGACCCATTACCAATTCTTAGCGAATATGTTATAAAATGTCTTCGATAATGCCATTTTTGTTCATATCCCATACTTTACACGGATTTGAAGGCTGATATATCGTAGTGATCATCGTGAAAAGTGTACGAATTTCAGTCGCATGCGAAGTAGCTATTCCAGTTATTATCGTGTTCCAGCATTTGTAACTGCTGGCATGCTTCTCACACACCTGGATGTCCATCTATTGCTTGGCGTTGCTTTTTCTGTACCCATTTCTCCGAAGATGCATTCCTTGTACTATAATATCAAGGCATTTCCAAATTTCTCGCAAACGGAACACTGACGCAATTTCACTAAAAACTCGTCAATATCACTCCTTGGCCTTCTTAAATGAATTGGAAGATGCACAACAGTCGGGAAAACGTTCATGAATTGATCGATTTCTCCAAATTGCAATACTCAACATTATTATGAGTTTTGAATGCGAATTAGACAATAGTGGCGAATATGGTACATTCTTCTAAATTTAATGCTGAATGTTCTGCCAGTGTTATTTGGTGAGCGATCCCGAGAGAGTGAATATCCATCATTTCCAGTTTGCGTTTCCGAAGAAAAAAGCACATGGATATTGTTTCGTGCATTTACTATATTGTCAGACATACAAACCGAAGTAGCGTTGTGGTTGGTTATGTTATTATGGGTTTTCATCACTTCGTATAAATCTGGATCTATCTCTACATCCGGGATTTCCGCGGAAATAATTTCATAATTTGATCTAAAATATAGGGTTATATATACCAAAGTGAGCAGAGTTGAAATCCGGATGTCTGTCTGTCCGTCCGTCCGTACAAGCTGTAACTTGAGTAGAAATTGAGATATCATGATGAAACTTGGCACACGTATTTCCTGGCTCCATAGGAAGGCTAAGTTCGAAGATGGGCAAAATCGGCCCACTGCCACGCCCACAAAATGGCGAAAACCGAGAACCTATAAATTGTCATAACTAAGCCACAAATAAAGATATTAAAGTGAAATTTGGCATAAAGGATCGCACTAGGGAGGGGCATATGTGGACGTAATTCTTTTGGAAAACTGGGCGTGGCCCCGCCCCCTACTAAATTTTTTGTACATATCTCGGAAACTACTATAGCTATGTCAACCAAACTCTACAGGGTTTTTTCATTCATGCATTTCCATATACAGTTCAAAAATGGAAGAAATCGGATAATGGCCACGCCCACCTCGCATACAAAGGTTATGTTGAAAATCACCGACTAAAAAAAAACGTCAGAAACACTAAATTTTACGGAAGAAATATCACAAAGAAGCTGCACCCAGACTTTCTTTAAAAATTGAAAATCGGCGTGGCGTCGCCCACTTATGGACCAGAAACCATATCTCAGGAACTACTGGACCGATTTTAATGAAATTCGGTACATAACAGTTTCTTAACACCCTGATGACATGTGCGAAATATGGGTGAAATCGGTTCACAATCACGCCTTCTTCCAATATAACGCTCTTTTCAATTCCATCTGATGCCTTCTCTGTATAATATATACATACATTAGGATCCAATGATGATAGCGGAGTAAAACTTTACACAAATACGGTATTTGATGCGAGAGTATAAAATGTTCGGTGATACCCGAACTTAGCCCTTCCCTACTTGTTAAAACTAGTTTTTTAACTCGAAAACTAAAAATTAAAGCGTTGGTCATTCGAATGTTTTTGTACGCCATTCTTGTGCAAACACAACTGTTTAAAAATGAGTTCTTTACCTGAATTAATTTCAAATGAAAAGTTTGGTACCATTGGTATGCGTCTTAGCGGTAAGATCATGTGTGATATTATTTCATTGCTGTATAGTATACACCAAATGGTATAAGGAGTAAGTTGCCGCCTACGGCGAGTCAAGGTAGCGGTAGGTCAAATTTGCAATTTTTTGGAACAATGCTTAATTTTACCACCTCAATAGAGGTAATTATATATATATTTTTGAAGCGTTTAATTAAATTTTGAACAAACTGGAAATAAAATTTTTCAATAAGTGGACCGGCAGAAATACAGAATTTATTATTGCAAACAATAAAAAGCCACTCGAACAATAAAAAAACTTTTTCATTCTAAAATGTATTCTTCTTTTTCTTCACTGGCGTAGACATCGCTTTCAACGGAAGCCGGCTTCCCAAAGGAGTAGAGGCCTTCCTCTTCCTCTGCCTCCAACGGCGCGTTCTGCGTCGAATACTTTCAGAGCTTAATGAGTGACTTATAAGTTTGGTTTTTGTTCGTCGAGAGAATACTTTACTTTTCACTTGCCTACTCAGTCCGAAGTAGCACCAGTTGACAAGAGTTACTCTGTGTTGGATTTCAATTTTGTTACTGTTAATACTGGTTTCAAGATAGACGAAATTTTCTATGACTTTAAAGTTATGACTGACAACAGCAACGTTGGAGAGTAGTTGCGAGTGCGATGACTGTTTGTTCGATGACAGGAGATATTTCTTGTCCTCGTTCACTACCAGACCCATTTGCTTCATTTCTATATCCATTCAGAAGAAAGTAGAAACTACGGCGCGGTCAATGATTATTTGAATATTTCGGCCGGAAATCTATCGGCCCGCTGCTTTTTTGTTCTACAGATAAGGAGTTTCTATTCAAACTTTTTCATGATCGGGCTATAGTACGTCCGCTGCATTGTCATCGATACAGGAATCGGGTTCGAATTCTCCTGATCTTATGCTTTCTCCGCTATTCAGCAGATTGGGTAAGTGTTCCTTACTTAATTTAGTATGTGTGACGTAGGCAGTCTCTCCGCTAGGACACGGCAACCCTCATCGTACCAGCTGATCGTTTGCATTGTCCGAAAACCAATGGTTTCGTTTGCAGCTGTTTCCCTTATACCAATTTGCTGACGAGTGCTCTCAGAAAACAGGAGTGGAAGTCGAGTAGAAAACCGTTTCGCTATCGGTTATCATTGCGGCGGTCTGAACTGTAGCAAAAATCAAACTGACTCTGCCATCAGATCAGCAACTCGAGTCTGCCCCAATGTGTGGGTGTACCACACATTCCAGCAGACTCAAAATATGCCGAGTCTGCTGTTTCAGTCACGTCCCGCCAGTACGCTGTACTAGTACAGAAGTACCGAATTCGCTACTTATCGGTAAACACCAGTACTTACACCATAATCTACTTCGTTTGCTTTCGAGAGGCGAATTTAACAAGGAGATGTCCTCAGAGAGAGTCTATCGTCACCCTCTGCATTACCTGTAAGTACCTACGTCGCTACTCACAAGTATTACTTTGCTACCCCCAGGTAACCACCCATTTCGATAATCCCAAATCGCTATAAAATTCGCCATTAGTTTTGATTTATAAAAAAACGTATCTTTCTTTTAAGTTTAATCATTTCATTTTAATTTTATTTTGTTTGTAAAAGCACAAAGTTGAAATTTTAAGTCGAATTGAGTATTGTGTCTGCTGATGCTGTGGCTTGTCTTTGGACATTCAAGCGCTTTTAAAAATGCGTTTTTTTGCAACTATATTGCTTTATGCAGTTTTTTGTCTGCAGTACCATTCCCATTATTTAACGGAATGGAGTCTAAAGAAGAAAAAAATTACTAAGTGCCAATTTTTTTTTATAAAACAAGAAATATAATACCCAGTAGTGCGTCGTAAAAGTTTTGAAGGGATTTTGAGGACTTTCGGCCCTGCACTCCATCGACATTGAATGCCATTGCTATTTCATCGCCCAAAATATTTCGTAAATTCTTCAAAATGCCGGTAGGTTGCAGCAGCGATCTCATAGCTTTAACCTGTGAAAAAATTAAATTAAGCATGTTCAATAGCGTGTCCGTTATTTTTCGAATTAATTTCTTTTTTACGTACTTGTGATAATTTTTTCGAAGATTTTTCTTGCAGTTAAAAAAAAATTATTCGAAAAATAAGGGCCGCGCTAGATATCAATAAAACTTAATAATATTTCTAAAACTTACATAAGTGTTTTTGTTTTCTCTGTTGAGCTGGTCATTTAAACTTATTAGCTGCTCTTCGTTCTTTATGGGGAATTTGGACTAGATAGGCAGCTCCTCTGCACGCTGTTGCAGAAGTTGATTAAGGACAACTTTTTTATCGGCCAGTGCTTCAATTGCTATTTGCAGTTGACTTTAATAATTTTCAAAATCTATGTAATTTTATATTTTTAAATTGTTGGTCAGCAACAGTATCCTTACCACGAACCACCTTAATTTACTGTTGCATGGCATCTGAAAACATAAGATTTTAAATATCTAGATATGTAGGTATAACACATGGAGCAGTTTTCCGTAAATTATTTTTACCTTTTATATCGTCTATCTTTTTCTCGAGCTGATCGATAACGATAGTGCAACTGCAATTGCTGTCTATTGGATTGAAATTTATTTGAACTAATTTTTTTTTAAATGAATCAACGATCACTTTCTTTGCTTATCAAAGGCAACGCGTTTATTTTTTTTTTTTGGAGGAGTATCAGGCGTTTTGAAAGCTTATTATTTTTTATTATACTCTGAACAGGGTATATTAATTTTGTCACGAAGTTTATAACACCCAGAAGAAAGTGTCGGAGACCCTATAAAGTATATATATAAATGATCAGTATGTTGAGCTGATTCGATTTAGCCATGTCCGTCTGTCCGTCTGTCTGTATATATACGAACTAGTCCCTCAGTTTTTAAGATATCGTTTTGAAATTTTGCAAACACCATTTTTTCTTCAAGAAGCTACTCATTTGTCAGAACTGCCGATATCGGACCCCTATAACATATAGCTGCCATATAAACTGAACGATCGTAATCAAGTTCTTGTATAGAAAACCTTCACATTTGACAATGTATCTTCACTAAAGTTGGCCCAAGTTATTTTCTATGGCAACAATATAATCTCCGAAGAAATTGTTCAGATCGGTTAACTATGAAATATAGCTGCCACACAAACTGAACGATCGGAAGCTAGTGCTGGTATGGAAAACTTCTGCATTTATTACGAAATATTCGCGAAATTTGGTATAGATTATTTTCTACAGCAATAATGTAATCTCTGAAAAAATTGTTTCGATCGGTTAACTATAACATATAGCTGCCATACAAACTGAACGGTCGGAGTAAAATGTTTGCATTGGAGACTTTTTCAGTTAACGAGGTATATTATGCAAATTTGAGGTGTTTATTCTCTAAGGCAACGCTACAATAGTTGAAGAAATTTTGCAGATCGGATAACAAAACCTGCCATACAAATTGAAAATCAAAATTAAGTTCTTATGTGACAAGAAACAATTCTTGAATTTTAGCAATGATTATTGCCCAAGATTCGCTTTAATCTTCAAAAGCATTGTTAAGGTCCGACTGCCATACAAACCAACCCATCAAAAGCAAGTTCATATATGGGCAACTTTGGCTAAATATCATCACAAAATTATTAATTACTTTTTTCATTAAATAGCATGTGTAACGGAGCTAATTATTATTCTACATTATTTTTATATTGTAATCTGAATTAACCACAATACAAATAATATATTCTAAATAAATCTAAATTATGTTAAGAATACGTAACATAAGAATAAG